ATTCACATTTTCTTAAAAAGAATAAAAAAAGATCTTCGTTCAAACTGCAGCTTTCAAAACATAAATTATTGAGGAGGGAACTTCAAAAAAGTAAGAAGATGCTCAACTTATCCTGCAGGACTTTAAAGAGTAAAAAAAACAAAACAGATATCAAAATATATTCGACTAGTTCTTCTCTTGCTTTTTCATTTTTCTCTTTGTCTCCTCCTCCCCCCACTCACCTCTCCCCTGGGTTTGGCCCTCCCCCTCTCCTCACCCTCCATCCTGACGACAGACACCATCGTCTGACTTGTTTCTGGGTTACAGCTCCACAGGTGTGGTGTGTTATCGCAGTTATAATAAATGATGCCACGTAATTTATTTTCTTTCATCGCTTCAATCTGACAGTTTGACATATGGATCATATTCATGTGTTTCAAATCCTTGATCTTATCATATTATACTTGAAACTTACATAAACCATTTGCTCTGAGACTTTTCTCTTTGATACACACATCACCTCAGATATTAATGTCTAAAAAAAAATACTCAAAAGACGCAAAGCATATACTTTCCTTTTTTTAAATTCATATATTTCTTTAGCGATTCTTGTTATGTTATCTTTAAGAACCAGATGCAAACACTGATTGTGCCCCTTCACATATTTATACAGTGTAATGCGTTAAATAGTACAACATAAATATTTGATTTCATCTTGCAGTGACATAAGATCTGGAAACATTGAGTCCCTGTCGGTCAACATCGCAACTTAAATACTTGATCAGACGTTACTTTATCTTCGACTCAAATAAAGCAGTATATAAAGTTGGGCTTCAGTTGTTTTTTAAATTTGTTCATTCAATTTTTATTTTGAAGGGGGACTGGTTAAAACTTTAATTGAATCTATAAATTGTTTAAGGGTTCTTCTTTGAAACGATTTTTGTGCACATTCATGACATACTGTGTTCACCATGGAGAAATAAAAGAAGTGTGGGGGCAGGGAGGTGAGGGAGCGGTACAGGGAAAGAAGAAGAGAAACATCTATCTTAAACCACAGTATATCTGTACTGCCGGCGCTGTGGTCTCTTTTTTTTTCTCTGTTTAAGCGTGGAGAGATCCGTCTTTCGTGGAACAGCAGAGGAAGAGAGGAGGTGTGAGAGGCAGGGGTGGGGTGGGGTGGGGTGGGGTGGGATAAGAATCTTAGCTGAATCAAGGCCCACCACAACCCAGCGTACGCTGTGACTGTCTTCCCTTTAACATTTGTCTGTGTCTTTTCATCCAAAGCCCACCACAGGCCGCCTACTCTCAACTCTCTGAACTTCTCTTCTTTTATCTTCTTAAATCTCTAAATCTGAGACCACCACAGACCCCTCTCTGCTTCCTGCTGAGTGGTTTCACTCAGCAGCGAAATTTCATATAGTATAGCATGCAAAATGATAAGAGCAAGGATATATCTACAGTAAAATAATATATTTTTTCAAATAGCTGCTTTTGTAAATTTGTCTATACAATTTTTAAAAAAAGTGTTTAGTGACTGCCTTAATCAGATCCCTTCTTAGGAAAAATAATCTTGAATCATCTATAATACGTTGTTTTGGCTCTACGTGCTCCTTGTTCACCAAAATATACCCTAACATGGTGGAAAATGTAATGCTACGCAGACGACACACAATTGTGTATAATTGTCTAATTGCCCTATTACTGAGCACAAACTGCTTAAAGATTCTTACAACTTTAATGTCTATAAACCATTTAAAAATAAATTTGACAACACGCAATTTACAGTTATTATTAAAACTGGATCATAATCTAAAAATAAGAAAGCTTAGCACACACATTTTAAACCTTGGAGGTTTCACACGTCAGACGTATCTTGCGATTTTGTGATGGTCTCTTGTCTTGACTGTTGTGTTGCTTATTTAACTGGATTAACAAAGAAATCAGCAAATAGACCAAAGCTTGCGTGATATTTATTTAAATTTCATTACAATTTAGTGATGTCATTTAAATATAAAACATTTAGATTTGTGTTGCATCTACAACAGGTGACATGTAGATTATCATTATGATTAGGAATCTATATGAACATGTTTCTAAACCTGTTTCTAAACCTGTTTTCAGACCTGTGACTGTGATGGAGAAGTTTGTCCTCATTCTCTTCGCTGCGCTCGTCTCAACATCAGGTTCGATGTCCTGATTCCGACTGATTGGTTTATTTCAATTTGGGGCAGGATATTTCTCAACACATGACATCCCTCTCATTCTCTTAGGTGCCAGTGAGGTGGTTTATGCTCAGGTAGGAGAGAAGGTCACCCTAAAGCCTCAAGTGGAAATCAAGTCATATAAATATGTGTACTGGAGTTTTGGTAAACAGGACGGCCCTCAACTTGCCTGGCTCAATCACTTGGGGGGACAGTTCCTCACTAATGGTAAACAATGCATTGACTTATTCATAGGTATAATAACCTATTTGTACCATCGACTGCTCTTAATTTCAGGGGCTTCTGATAGTAAAAATCATTATTTCTTGCCTTGCAGCTACATCCTGGAATAAGTTGGCCATATCTGATGTCTCACTGGTCATCAAACAAATCCAACCAGAAAACTTTGGGGAGTACTTTTGTAAAATTACCTCAAAGGATCCAATTTTGGATATCAAACCCATCACACTTATCGAAATCAAGGGTAAGAGTGAAAATAAAGTTGTTCACCCAGAAGAGGGCTTTTATACTTTATGTTGTTTTAAACAGACTCCAGAGGCAGATGCTTTGTTTAATTCTAGCCTATGTAGTGGAGCTAAAATCACGATTTCCTACTCATTAAATAATTGAAATTCTGGTGAGATTACCTGATTAAAGCCTAAAGTTTTTTGCTCTCCTTAAATTCTGTCCCAGTGAGTTTGAACCCAGTCGGTCCTCTGCTGCCTGGACAATCTCTGACTCTGTCCTGCGATGTAGAGAGTAGCGAGAAGCCTGAGATCTACTGGATGAATCCCAGAGGAGAGATAATGAATGACACAAAGGGAACAGTCGATGTGAGAATCACAAACCAACACCATGGCAAGTGGACCTGTGTTGTGGCAAAAAAAAAGCAGGTCAAAATAGATGTAACTGTTATTGGTGAGTTACTGTGAAAGCACTAGTTTGAATTTCGCAGAAGTCAACCCTCATTCCGATTACAACTTTATTTCTTGTTTCCTCCTTACTTAGACCTTTCTCCAGCTCCTTCACTTCCTCAATACACGTCTACATCCTCACCCATCACCATCCCCTGTTCGATTCCTACTCAAATCTCCTGGCTACAGATCAAAGCTAAGGGTGTGCAGGAAGTTCACTGGCAATTCTTCCCCGAAACATCTTCAGGCCTCGATTCTGATGGCGCTCAGAGGCTCTTCTCCCTCTCACTGAAAGATACACTGAGCTGGACCCGAGAACAAGACAGAGAACTGAGTCCTGCACAAGACCCCAAAACAGGAAATCTGGATCTGACCAGAAAACTGGGCAGAGTAGAAGACGGAGGAGACTACGTGTGCACTATGAAATTTGAAAATGGCGTGACCCTGAACAGGACAATACACGTGCAGGTGTTGCAAAGTAAGTCTAAACGAATTGCTCGGCACAAGCCCAGCTCTGTGTTACCCTCACATCTGTCAAGTGAAATTTTGTTTGCTCGTTCATTATCATCGCGGCGTCCTCGTTTATTTTATTTGACATCACGTTTGTTTGCGTCCTTCTAATTGTCATTCAAGACAAAGTCGGACACAATTACTCATTTGCCACCTCTCTGCTTCTGCTCTATTGCACCATGCGAGTGTTTAATCTGTCTGCAGAGTTTATTTGAAAATGTCCCTGTGTGACACTATTCTAATTCATTGGTTAATGCACTAGTCTGGCTCCACTTGTTCTAATAGAGTATAACGAGCAGTCCCTCTGCCAGAGGAACGTTATAAAACAACATGTTTTAATTGGACTGTGTGTTCTGAGCATTTAACATTTGTCATTTTAAGTTTTTTTCCCTAAAGTCCTCTGATCTGATGGATTAATTCATTTGCTCTCGGACCATGTTGTACCATGATCTCAGCTGCAGCGTTTGTTTTTGGGGATTTACCTCCACCTACCAGACCAAATTCAATTTTGCACGTGTTTAAAAGACTGTTGATTTGTGATTTGACTGGGAGCTTATTTTTTTTATTTAACACAACTCAGCTTTGCTTTGTAAAGTGGTGTCCAAGCCAGTTAGAAGAAACAACATGAGACCACTTGGAAATATTACCTTTCACAGTTTAAACTAATTATAAAGGTAAATGTGTTGAGTTAAAAATATTTTTTCTTAATGTTATTTAGGTATTAAGAATCATACGGTTTCCCATCAGGCCTTGGTGTATTAGGTGTCAGGGAAAAAGCTTGTAAAAAATGTGACTTTTTAAATTAAATGTAATTCATTTATGGTCATTAACCAGTTACAGTTTGACATGATAATTATAATGATTTAATTGATAATTGATAATTTAACAAATTGTTGGTTTTCCCACAGTCAACAAGTCAATGTTCAGATTTTTTTTTCTGCTCATATTTTCCATAGTTACATTTTTCCCAAAGAAACGTGAAAATACAAACAAACACACACAAAACATTACATAATGTAGAAAAAAATATAAATATGAATAATAAGAAAAACAGAGGACCACTCCCACCTCATCCCCTGGATCGATCCCCACAGAGAATCAATGCAAACGATCCTGGAGGTTCATTAAAACTGAGCCTCTATATGTTCCTGTTATTTGTTTTATTTAGATGTTAACGTTATGTGAAGTGTTGGTGGGACAATGATGCTGTTATATAATGAGATGTGTCTATATTTCTTAAACATATTATGATTATTGATATTAACAATACCCTCGGTCAGATTCAAAAGACCTCAGCTTCAAAAAGCACAACTATAAGCACAACTATAAAAGCATAACGACAAATTATTTCTTCCCTTCTTCCCCAGTCATCTCCTCCCCGGGAGAAAACATCCTCTCTGGCCAGCAGCTCAACCTGACGTGCAGCGTTGGCCGCCCGCTGCCCTCTGACCTCCATCTCCAGTGGTCCCCACCTAAAAAAACATCCCTGCCATCTCTGAAATCTCAACTGCACCCCACCCATCTCACCGTCCCAGAAGTGAGCACGGACAATGGAGGGAATTGGAGTTGTACGCTGTACCAGGAGGAAAAGCAGCTTACGTCGGCCGTGATAACTTTGACGATCGGTGAGGATAGGCAGTGAGAGCGGAGCAGGAAACATAACATCAACGTGACCTCGTGGCCACATTTTTTAAACTACAGAAGGTTGAGTTTACACGGTGCATTCTCTACTGTATCCTGTTTGAAGACTGTCCTTCTCTGTTGTTTGCAGAAACCAAACTGAATGTGTGGATGCTGGTGATCGCATGCATCGCTTCAGTCATCGTGATCCTCCTCCTCCTCATCCTCGCTCTCATCCTCCACAGACGCAGACGTGTACAGTCAAATAATTTCTATATCTTTTTCCGTTAAAGCACAATGGGCCTTTAGTGTGGTATTATAAAGTTAACTCTCAATCTCTCTATGTCTGTTTCACTTTGTGGTTGACAGAAGAGATACCTCAGGCACCAACTCTGCCGATGCAAAAAGTACGTACTAACCATTTCCTGGACTGATGAAATGGCTCCAAACTCACATTTACACTCACATTTACACTCACTAACTCTCAACTGAAATTTTGAAGAACAATTGCAGCCATAGGGTGTTTTAATGAAGATGCACCAATAAAATAAGCATTTAAATTTCACCTATTGTCGCTCAAACAGAAACCTGTGACTCTCTGTTTCAGCCCCAAGCCCAAAGGATTCTACAGAACATGATATCTCCCAGAGAGAGGGGGAGAGAACAGGACACGACCACCGATTGAATTTCTGTCCAGATAAGATGGATTTTTCTGTCCTATCTACTAAACTGTGAAGCTGTGTTCGCTGTGAGAGACGAAGGTCTGAAAGTTTGAATCAGAGTTCAGTCATCGCTGAGATGCCAGATGAGACTCAGAAAAAATAAACGTATTTTACAGTTGTATATATAAACCTGGTTGGATTGTGTTTAATTCCTTAACGAATCTAATATTCAATTCAATTTATGTCATTGTTTTATGATTCTAGTGGCTGTTTAATTTCACTTGATTACATTTCTAATGTTGGAATTAGTATATTTAGTATTATTTCAGTATTTTTTTTAATGTATATTCTTTATGATGCTCCATTGAAAAGCTTGGTTACTTGCTACAATAAATATGTACACATTTCTTGTATTTGTAGCAGAAAATTATACTTTATTACTTAAAATAAAACAGGGTCCTGAGTAAATCAGCCTCTTTCATGAGTGACCCTGCATATGACTGGAGATGGGGGTGAAGGTTGGTGTCAGTGGAGTGGGGTGGCAGCCATCTGACAGATCCGAGGATACTTGTAGGAGCAGGGAACATCGTACCAGCTCTGAGAGCGGCTGTCCACCACAGCACAGTCCTCGCCCTTAGGCCCATCGGACAGGTTGTTGTCTGGCTCTGATTTCAGGATGTTCCAAGATCTTCAAATTTGGGGGAGAGAAAAAGATTGAAATAGAAAGAATTAGTGCCCTGCAGTTGTAGGCCTCTGAGATTCAGAGCAGTTTCAGTCTACATGCATTTTTTTCCAGATTCATATGAGGTCACTTGACCTTTGACCATTAAAATCTAATCAGTTATTCTTACAACTGGCCATAAAGTCAGACTTGAGATATCATGTTGAAGAGGTCAAACACATGTTTTGTGAATCCATCATGACCATGACCTTTGACCTATGACCACTAAAATCTACTCAGGTAATCCACGAGTCTGAGTTAAGATTTTTTGACAAATTTGAAAGGATTCTCTTGAGGCGTTCTGAGGATAACGTGTTCACAAGGCAAACAATGATTGTGGGAGGTCACAATAACCTTCACCATCTAATCAGGTCAAACTTGAGTCCAAGAGAACGTTTGTGTCAGATACAAAGAAATTCCCTTTGGGTGTTTCTGATATATTACAAGAGAGTGGGATCACATTGCTTAAAAATTTAATATAGTAACTGCCATTTTTTCACCATGTGAAATATATGATATCTCTCTAAGTGTGGGATACCTAAACCAAGGCCTTCATCATAAGTCTATAACTCCTACAGCTCTCTCTCTGTAGATTTGCAAATGTTGCAGCTGCTTAAGGTCTTAAGTCATTAAACCCATAACACAGCTGCTTGTTAGTATAGAAACAGCATTTGAATCATTTCAAACTTACGGGTTTTCAAGTGTTGAGTTGTCCACCCATTTCCATTCTCCCTCTTTCTCTACGTCAGTCAGTCCAATCCAGTAGTGTGTGTAAAACCCTCCAATCCTTCTGCTCTCTTTTTCCACAGCTTCCTAAAAGGTGTTCCAATCAAATGTTAAACCTTTTTTAGAACAAATAGATAGAAATGCAGAATAAAAAAGCATAAGCAGTTCACAGTAACACGTACGTGCTGTGCCATTGTGTTCAAAATGGCAAGATGCCTGCCTCCTAGTGCACAGATATTTGCACTGGTCAACCAGTCCTGTCTGTCAGTGCTGATTTGGAAGCACTGATCCGCCACCTGAAACCACCCTGCAGGACACTCAGAGCAGTTGAGCACTGTGAGGAAAGAGAAAAAAGGAAATGATCAGACAAGTTAGTTTAACGGAAAGATCCAGAACATGTGTGTGCGAACAATGTATATCAACAAATGATTGTTTTTCTGTGCACAAATTATTCTTTAGCTATAGTCATGCAAAACTGAAAAAGCTTTGGGTGGCATAAAAGGATGCATTCAATATTTTGCTCAAGATTATCTAGCTGGAGAAGTGCAAACCACATGTTTTTGAATCCATGAGTGTGAAGATTGTGTTTTTATATATTTATGCTGCATTTTGTCCTGTATATTATTTTATATTTCAGACAGACATGGACCTATGAGTCCAAACTAAAGCTGAACTAACTGTCATCTATCTGCTGGAGCCTGGAAGAGAGGAGCACAGTACCTGGTGCTGAACAGTTGTTCGCCAGGTCGGAATAATTTTCACACAGGAGTCTGTAGCGATCCTTCAGAGAGTCGAATCTCAGCCTCAGGGTGACCAGTTCATCCTCTGGACTGTCTGCGGCCTGAGCGACGGCTCCAAAAACCAACAGGCCGATTAAAACAGAGAGCAGGACGTGGACTCTGGCACCTTGTTGGACGGTTAGCAGAGGGTAAAAAGATTTGACTAAAAAGATTAGCGCACATGCAAACGGACCCGACAAACACACATCACTTCTGCACGCTGTGTAAGTGGAGCTTACCTGTGGGTTTGATGAGGCTCATTATGGCTGTCAACCTGCAGGACATCACAGATTCTCCTTCTCTCTCTCTGCCCTCTGGGTGTTTTATAGAGCAATTTGTGTACCAAGAGAAGAGAACGTAAAGTACAGATTGCGCAAATCTTCCAGACAGATCGGCCTCCTATTTGACAAATCTTGGAAATACAGATGGTGCAATATCGTAAAGCCAAACCATTGATAGGCTGCCGGATCAGATTAGATGAACAAACATTTGCCAGTTCAGTGTTATTTACTGTTAAATGAGCAAAGTTCCTTGGCAAAGATGAAGGACTAAAAAGTGTGATTCAGCATTTTTTGGTGTAGCACATGCATGCATGCATTTGTTGAGGGTTATTTGTATTCTCTTCGTTAGTAGAGCAGCTGCAACAATATCACCTCTACACCACAACACACAGACGCACACACACACACACACACACACACACACACACACACACACACACACCAGATGCCCACTCTGTGGCTCCAAAAAACTGTCAACTTGTTGTTGTTTTTTTTCGACATGTCCCATTTATTATTTTTTCCTTGGCAGCTTATTCCCACAGCCACTGTCAGCTCTTGTACTTCACGAGGTTTTATTATTCAGACCAAAACTAATTAAAGCAGAGGAGGACTGTGGCGTTGTTTATCTCTGAGAATGTTTCAGAGAGAGAAAATTTGTGTTTGCACATGGCCACAAATTCTTATCGTCAGAGCGTCTGTACTGATTCAGAGTTTGGTATTTCATTAAAAAAATAACAGGCAGCTGCTTCTATGAGCATTTTTAAAAGTTTTCTGGTCTTTTGCACGTCACATTCTCACATGATGTCATGTATGAGGCATCTGTAATGGTAGATGGTAAAGGGATTGTATTTATATAGTTCTTTTTCAGGCTTATTGACCACGAGCTTTAAAGTACAAACCACATCAACTCAGCGCTACAACACACTGCCAGGACAGGAGTCAGGGACAACTAGAGGAGCAGGGGATCAAACCACCAACTATCTGATCAGTGGACGACCCGCCCTCGCCCCCTGAGCTCTCCACAGCTGCCCAAAATCTGTCATTCCTAGAATCAGAGCCATCAGAAGGGTGAATATACAACTGGGATTGTGCAATGTTATATGTGGCAGTTTGACAATGACAAAACAGAAGCACTAAACTGAAATCCAACACACAGAAGAAAAACCTGAAATGATTTGTCTCCTCTTTTGTTCAGAAAACACTCAACAAAACACTAATTTGTTTCTGGGGTCGGCTGGTGGGTGTAGTGCAGCATTTCTCCCAGGACATTTGTTTAACACTGCTGCAGTGTTGCGGGCAGAGGGACGTGGCTCAATAAATCAACCGGCGGAAACAAATTTAATTTCAAGGAGAAATATTGCTGCTCGGAAGAGAGAGGAGACACCAAAGCCTTTAGGGAGCGGAGGAGTTCCGCCATAAAGAGAGACAAAGCGAGAGCGTTAACAAGGACACTGCAGACCACAGAGGAGAGAGTGAAAAAAACCAAAGCTGTCTGCAGGGGTTCACAGAGGAGCCAGCACCTGGAGGGAACAGGCCTGTCCTCCAACACAGCCACAGTGTTTTATGTGTTCATGTAGCAAAGATCACAAGTGTGTACATTTACTCTTGTACATAACAACAACCAAGGTATTTGTTCTTGACATTTCCTTTTTATGCCACTTTGTGATTCAGCACATACATAATGAGGGAAAATACAGCTGTGATTATATTAAACTTTGGAAAGATTTTTACAAACATCTTTAACTTGTGTCATCTTCGTCTGACATCAGGTGTTTTGAGATTTTCACCAGACAACAGCTTGTAAATAAAGATGGATCCAGAGTCTGCACAGCGATGTGGGATGATGCCCCGGCATCATGGTTCCATCCATACTCAACCAAATAATTTTTCAGAAAACTAATTTAACACATTCTTTGACTTTTAGTTTGGTCCATGTCTTATCCACTAGAGACAGAGTTGCTATTTTGTCTCTGAAACATGTTTTACCTTATTTGTTGATATCCTCTCTACGTCACAATAACCATCAATGAATAAAGTTGTCTGGAAAAAAGACGATAGTAAGAAGTTTGTTTGCACGTTCAGACATTTTATCATTTGAGAAAAGTAAATGAGGCTGAATTCTGGTCAAATGGTTTTGCAGCAGGTCTGTAATCTCCTGTTACTCAAAGTCTGAACTCCACAAGCTCCACCAGATGATTTAAAATATAAACTGAATCGGCAGCGAACATGCTGTGGACTATTTTGTGTCTAATCAGGCTCCCAGGGACTGAAGTGCAGCGAGAGTGTGAGGAGTCTAACAGCTCTTCTGATGCTTATTGGTTTTTTGGCCTCCATCTGCGGCAACATCACACTCACTGTGAGTTTAAACACTGTCTTTCAACCTCCTGTCTTTCCCGCTCTTGCAGTCTGAGCATGTATACCTGTCAGTTGCCCTCTTTTTCTTGCAAGTCTCATTCTATTCCTCCATCCGGCTGATTGTTCTCTCTTTATTTCAGCTCAGTGTGCTTTTGGACACCTATAATTGGCAATAAAAAAGACAAAGTGCTCTCTCTCCAGTCCGGTGAGGGTCATGTAATAGAAAAAACACAAAAGTCCATAATTGTGAAATATATTTCCTGCTGGGCCAACGGTCTTTGGCAGCTCTGCCCGTTAATGTGCTTGTGAGGACACTTGCTCATTTAAAACAAACACCACTGGGACTGTACGTGCTTGATCTATTGCCACACATGCACACACACACACACACACACACACACACACACACACACACACAAATAGAAACATCTGTTATTATAAGACTCTTGATAGAAATGTATTTTACTCAGCAATGTGAATAAGGTATAGAAGTATGAAATATGAAATACTTTCCATAATATTGGTATATTGTGCTGCTTTTTGTGCAATCTTTGTATTAACCAACATTGATTTTTTAGATAAACACATTTGTACAACACACATTAACTCTAATCGAATGAATCGAGATAAAACACTGTAAACAATTTGCTAAATCAACGACAGAATGAAAGAATGACTTTTGGATCCTTCCTCAAATTTCAAACTCATTCTGAGACACTATCTGACATGTTGTCATTAATACTGTCTCTCTTGATAAAAGCCAAATAGCCTAAATTTACCACCATTATCTGTATTCATGACTAATATCACATGAATTAGTCTTCTTATAATGTATTAATGTTTCTGTAGGCAAAGGGGAAGTGGCAACATAAACAAAAGAGACAGAAATCTGGAAAATGATGTGAAAAAAAAAACAGACGATGTTCACACTGTAAAATGATCATTTCCTTACAGCTCGAGGGAGCTCATATAAACTCAATTATTCCAGAAACAGCAGCAATAAAATCTCACAGAGATTCACAAAATGTCCACAGGACCAACACAGGGTGAAGATAGAGGAGAATCAGAAAACTGGTCCAATATATCAACACCTACAGAAGGTGTTGCCATGACGTTCTGCAGGGACAGTCATGGGCCCCAGAGGATGATCCCTGCTTCACTTTGATGTTCACATGATTTTTCCCGTAGTAACACCATCATCTTGACATTTATAGTTTTCAGGAAAATGCCTCAACAATTGCTGGATGAATTATCATAAGATTTATGTTCCCCTCAAGATGAACTGCAATAACTGTGGTGACTGCTTAACTGCTTATCTCGACAAAAGAAGTGACTCTTTATATCTTTTTTTTCAGTCCTCCTCTCAGTGATTGACAGGCCAGAGCCAGGTACCTCCCCGGCCTCATCATCTCCAGACCTGAAATTGAACTCGAATTGAATCGTTGCATCCAGTTGTGTCAGGACTTCACCACCCCAGGACAGAGCTGTTCAAAGAGAGGGGGCAAGATTTAGATCAAACATGTGCATGACCTCGTTTCACTGCTGCCTTTGATTCATTATGTCTCCCTCGTCCTTTTGTCTTGTTCTGTCTCTCTCATTAACAGTTCAGCAGTGTCCTGAAGGAGGACTTCATGTCAGGGATCAGTGTTACTATTTCAGTCGTGACAAGCTGGACTGACTGAAGAGCAGAGCCAGCTGCAGAGATGGGAGGCCATCACTGAGCATGTACGTGTGTGTGTGTGTTTGTCCTGA